GCCAATTGTAAGGCAAAGTGTGGGTTAATGCCATTCAGCAATACACTGAAGGTTGAATTAGAAACACCATTTGTATTTCACACTGGAAACAAACCCTTGTGACTAAATTTTTTTTTACTTGAAACTGAAATCCATGATGAGAAGTAGCACAATCTAGAGAAACTTTATGTCTGCTTAAACCATTTACACTATGTTCCTGCCTTGAAACAGAGAGCCAATGAGAGAGAACAATATACTGTAATACATTGTTTGGTCAGGAATTTTGTATAAATTCTACTACTAATAATAATCACTAGACCTGTGAAAACCCAAGTGCAAATAACTTGGTACCAGCCCTAACATTATTGTATTTTCATACCATCACTCTAGGAAGAGCAAAAAAACCCAATAAAGTAAAATCGAAAAAAGACTCTTTCATGTGAATCTTATGAAGACTGTTACAGTTAAAAGCATATGGCAACTTTTTTGCTGGCAGAAAGTCTAGAAGGACAACAAACACAAGAAGCTTTTATTTTAGTTGAATTTTGGTTTAGTTTTAAAGTTCTTGGAACCTCCAAAATAAGAGACGTATCATATAACAGAATATGGGGTGGGGGATTTGGGAGGGCAGGGGCTGGACCAGAAAAACCACTCCCTCTCAGTCCTGTTTTCCAAGCAGAAGGTAACAATTCTCACTTTACGGACTGTCAAGACTTTTTCTTCACCTAAATGTTTTGCCTATATTCAACTGCTTCAGACTGAAAATAAATAAGCGTGGGTGGTGCCTTTACTGTATTGCTATTGTTCAATGACAGTCTTGTTTCTCAAAGTGGAACCTGTGTTCTTTTAAGCTTATTTCCTCATGTTTTATTAAAGTATTAGAAGGGTTCTATCCCCACCAGCCTCTCTTCCCTCTTCTGTTGTCAAGAATGAAAATTCATGTTTCACCTCCATGTAGTGGTTGCAAGGTCAGGAATATTTAGTTAGCCCCTCATCCCAGATAGTAAATCATACTTTTTCTACCTAAAATCCCCTATAGTCTTTCATTCTGTATTTGCTTTTAGGCACAGTAGTTCTCCTTCAAAGTTCAATTAAATGTTACATGCATATTGTCTTTTTTCTTGTTTGCTTTTTGTTAGTGGTGTCCCTCCCCCCTTTGCTTGATATTTAGGAGGCTGCTGCACTAGCCTCAGATGTCACAAGGATCTGGGTTTAAAATCAGACTCATGGTCTTGCCAGACCATGATTCTGATGACTTGGATACATTTTTGATATCAGTAAAACCACTTCAGAATTTGGCACAGTTAGCAGGCTGGCAGTCCTGGAATGATAAAATATGTGCACATCAACAGTGAAGTGAATAATTGTTATGAGACTAAGACTGTGTGGCAAGCGCTTGATACAACAAGCAGTGCAATTTGCTTTTCACTTTCATCATGCACTAAAATCCCTGCCATCCCCCAAAGGAAGTCATTGGGCCATCTCATAAACTAACCATCCCAATACAATTTACATTTTCACTGGCTGTCAGTTTTCCTTGAGATTAGTTTCATACTGTAAAAGGACATGATAGGCTCCATGAGTCTGAGAACTGTATACTGCAAAATGAATCAAGAGTGGGATTTCTGAACTGTATGCAGCCGATTCAGACAGTATTTCTTCTTAGATTTTTGCAAGGATGCAAGAGCAGAGTAGTTTAAAAGAGGCTAACAGGGGAGATCATTTATCCAACCGATTCAAGATTGATCTGCATCTTGATGATACAGGCATCACTCTGTAAGGGTATATCTACACTTACACCCTAGTTCGGACTAGGGATGCAAATGCAGGCATTCACATTTGCTAATGAAGCGGGGATTTAAATATCCCGCTCTTCATTAGCAAGATCTCACCAGCGCTAGTTTGAATCACAGCTGATTTGAAAGTGAAAGTGCGTGCCGGGACATGTTAGTTCAAACCAAACTCCTTGGTTTGAGGAATAATTTTTTGAGGAGTAATGTTAGTTCGAACCAAAGGGTTTGGTTTGAACTAATGCATCCCGGAGCGCACTTTCACTTTCGAATCAGCTGTGATTCGAACTAGCGCACCGGCGAGATCTTGCTAATGAAGCACAGGATGTTTAAATCCCCGCTTCATTAGCAATTTCGAATGTCTGCATTTGCATCCCTAGTCCGAACGAGGGTACAAGTGTAGACATACCCTAAGTGTGCTTCTATATTGTATGAAAGTTTCAGAGGGGTAGCCATGTTAGTCTGTAACTGTAAAAAACTTAAAAAATAATGATCATCTGTCTTATGCCCATGAGAAGTAGAAAAAAAGCCCATGGACTAATACTCTCCTGAATCTCTCATGTCATTCCTTTAACTTTTATTGCTTTCACAACTGGCTAATTTAATTTGACCCTATATGGAATGTTGCTGTTAATCCATATGCTTTAGATACACACTTCAGCTGCACTCTGATCCACACAGATTTTTGTGTAACTTGAGCATATTTTATGTGGAAAATTTTAGTAACTGTATGTTCTGTAAGTAAACCTGTGTTAATACTTGTTAACAACTACAGAGTTTATGATACCAATAATACTTCCTACGATAAAATGTTTGTTTGTTTTTTAAGAATGTTTATTTGTAAACATATGTATTCACTATATTAATATGAATTTCTTACCTGGCAATAAAACTGATTCTATGTGAATCTGATTTGCTGGCTCGTTCATAAATTCCTATCATTGGGCCAATAACTGAGTTCCTCAGTCAGCTTTTACAAAGTCTTTACAAAATCCCACTGATGACAATAGGTCTTGCCTGATCAGATTTGAGGTGTGGAGCCTTTATTATTTGTAATCATGCCAGGAGAAAGCTCTCTTGCAAATACATTCTCTATGTTATCTGTGATCAGTATTCACCTTGCTAGCATTTGAACTCTTCCCACATGAATCATTATTTTACAGTTTTGCAAGGGGAAAAAATTAAAAATACATAGGGCCAAATCCTGCTCTCTTTGAAGTGTATGGGAGTTTTGCTGTGGACCTAAATGGGACTGCAGGATCTAATCTATATAGTGTGTGCTTGGCTGATTGTAGGTGGGACACTTCAGTTCTTATGCAGTTATCAATCACAGAAGAAACATTACATTATGGCTCTAGAATATAGTAGTTCACTTGGAACAGAAATATCCTGTGATGGGCCTCACTACAGCTGACAATGGCCCTGTGAGGCTATGTCTACAGTGCACGCGTCTTTCAAAATGACTCATGTTACTTCGAAATAACAGAGTGAGTGTCTACACAGCAAGCCATTATTTCAAAATAATTTCAAAATAACTGGCTTCTTACTCTGACTTTTGTAACTCTCATTTCAGAAGGAGTAAAGGAAGTTGAAAGAAGAGTGTTCTTCCTTCAACTTCCTGCAGTATGGACAGCACCAAAAGCTGAGTTAAGGTACTTCAACTTCAGCTACACAATTAACATAGCTGAAGTTGCATATCTGAACTTGTCTTGAGCCTGCAGTGTAGACACACCCTGAGTGAACAAAAACCTCCAGCTAGAGAAAATCAAAGTATTTTGTTGGCTTCCAAGTCAGTCTTCAATATCCTGCAATGGTGTGATCTGATATTTAGAGCAAAGCACTAGGAGTCAGATCTGTGTTCAAGTCCAGGTTGGGCCACTGACATGCTTTGTGGCCTAGAGCAAGTCACTTAAATACAATGTGTAAGGAAGAAATTCCATCACCTTAGCAGTGGTGTATGGAGGAGTTGTCCTGGATGGATGTGGGGAAGGGGGGGGGCAATGAAGGGTCATGTGCCGTAGGTAACTGTGTACTCTGCATATGCCTTGTGGGAGGACAGGGGCAGCAGCACTATCCCCAGTCACAGGCAGCTGGTCCTGGTCATGCTGCCTGAGAGAGGAGGAGACACTGCCCAGGACACAGCTCCTCTCCCCTGCTAGGTAATGGGATGGGGAAGGGTGGGATAGGGAGAGCGTGTGGGCCCAGGGCTAGGGGTAACTCAGGGAGGAGTCACATGGGGAGGTTACATGGCTGGTTCCCCCTTTGTGTCTCTTCTCAGCAGTCACCTACAGAACTCTACATTTGCAAGGCATAATGGATGACATCCTCATGCATGCTCTTTTTTCTCATATACAATGAAATGGGCCCTAAATAGGTTATGTGGCCCAGTCTTCTGGAGGATTAAGACAGGACTAGACCAGAGGTTCTCAGCATTGTCTTTCTCAGCACATAAAAACTCTATGACCCACCAATATCTCAACAACAATTTTTCTGCACATAAAAGCCAGAGCTGGCTTTAGAAGGCAGTAAGCAGGGCAATTTTCCGGGACTCCATGCCACAAGGGACATCACAGAGCTAAGATGCTCAAGGTTTTGCACCAGCTTCAGATGGCAGGTCTCGAGGCCCGGAAGAAGTTACTCACCTCAGCATAAAAACTCTATGACCCACCAATATCTCAACAACAATTTTTCTGCACATAAAAGCCAGAGCTGGCTTTAGAAGGCAGTAAGCAGGGCAATTTTCCGGGACTCCATGCCACAAGGGACATCACAGAGCTAAGATGCTCAAGGTTTTGCACCAGCTTCAGATGGCAGGTCTCGAGGCCCGGAAGAAGTTACTCACCTCAGCGCAGTAATGATGGTTCTTCGAGATGTGTGTCCTTGTGGGTGCTCCACTGTAGGTGTTGAGCTCGTTCCGGCACCACAGATTGGAGATTTTCAACAGCCATAGTCAGCCGGACTGCGCATTCGCAGCTGGCATCTCGCACCATTCGCGCCCTTTGCCTACTGCACGCAGTCCAACTCCCACCAGTTCCTCTCACCCGCTCTGTCATCTGGAATGAGAGAAAAGGAAACAAGATTCCAGAGCAGGGAGGAGGGTGGGTTGTGGAGCTCCCACGAGGACACACATCTCGAAGAACCATCGTTACTGCACCGAGGTGAGTAACTTC